CACACACACACACACACACACACACACACACACACACACACACACACTCTCTCTCGAATCCAGTAACACTGACCTCCTTGTTCCATGAATAAGAACAACCTAGGGGTAGCTAGGTGATGCAGTGGATAGAGTACCGGCCCTGGAGTCAGGAGGACCTGAGTTCAAAACCAGCCTCAGACACATAACACTCACCAGCTGTGTTACTCTGGGTAAGTCACTTCACCCCAACTAACTCACCAAAAAAAAAAAAACCAAAAACCAAAAAAAAAAACCCATTTCTTAGCTCTGGGCATTTTCTCTTGCTTTCCCTTATGCCTTGAATGTTCTCTCTCCTCATTTTCCCTTTCCGGCTTTCTTGGCTTCCTTTAAGTCCCAACTAAAAGCCCATCTTCTATAGGAAGGTTTTTCCAGCTCTTTTGATTCTAATGTCTTCCTTCATTTAATTATTTCCTACTTATCCTTTATATAGCAAATCCTCAAAGAAATGGGAATACCAAATTATCATACTTGTCTTCTGAGAAGTCTGCATGGGGGCCAAGAGACAATAGTTAGAAGTGAACATGGAACAACTGGATGGTTTAAGATTTGAAAAGGAGTACAACAAAGCTGTATATTGTCACCTTATTTATTTATATCCAGAGTACATCATGTGAAATGCCAGGCTGGACAAATCAAAAGCGAGAATTGAGTTTGCCTTGAGAAATATCAACAATCTCAGATATACAGATGATACCACTCTGATGACAGAAAGTGGAGAAAAATTAAAGAGCCTTTTGATGAGGGTAGAAGAGGAGGTCATATAAGCAGGCTTGAAGCTTAACATAAAAACCAACAAACAAAACAAACAAACAAAAAAAAACTAAGATCTTGGCAACTGGTCCCATAACTTCAAGGCAAATAGAAGAAGAAATGGAAGCAGTGTCAGAGTTCATATTCATAGACTTAAAGATCATCACAAATGGCAACTGCAGCCATAGAATTAAAAGACCCTTGCTTCTAGGAAAGCTATGGCAAATCTGGACAGCATACTAAAAAGCAGAGACATGACCTTGCTAACAAAGGTCTATATAGTCAAACTATAGTTTTTCCAGTAGCAATGTATGGCTGTGAGAGCTGGACTATAACTCTAAGGAAAGCTGAGTGCCACAGAATCAATGCTTTCGAACTGTGATGCTGGAGAAGACTATTGAGAGTCTACTGGACAGCAAGGAGATAAATAAGTCAATACTTAAAGAATTAATTCAGGCTATTCACTGGAAGGTCAAATACTCAAGCTGAAGATTAAATATTCTGGCCACCTAATGAGAAGACAGGACTCACTGGAAAAGACCCTGATGTAGGTAAAGATTGAAGGCAAAAAGAAGGGAATGGTAGAGGATGAGATGGATAGTGTCATGGAAGCAACAAACATGAGCTTGGACATATTTCAGGAGATAGTGGAGGATGGAATAGCATTGAGTTTCTGGGTCCATGGAGTCACAAAGAGATGGACAGGACTGAACCAATGAACAACAACAAAAGAAAAATAGTTTGTTGTACATATTTTGTTTGTTGTCTCCCCCAGACTGTCTTCTGCCTTTTAAGTCCTAGCCCAGAGTACTTTTGTACCCTGAATTTTCAATTCACATACAAAAATAATAATAATAATACAAATGGAAAAGTTAAGTCCACCAGAGAATCAAACAGAGATATGAGATTGACAGAGGGAGGAAACACTTCTAGATGAAGAAAAAGACTTTAGGAAAGGCCTCCTAGCAAGGTTACATTTGTAACAGGAGGGCCAAGAAGGAACGGAGACATTTCAACAATGGATAAATGCACTGAGACTACAGAGGGCATAGGAAGAGATAAAGGAGTGTCAATAATGGTGGAGAAAAAGCACTCAAATGGGAGTTTCAACTGGACCCTCACTGTGACAAGTCAATCGTTTCATATCTCCCTAATTAACTCACTATCCCACTCACCACCATAGCATTTTAAAATCTTTTCATTCCTCCTCAAACTTCTGACAGCTCCCTCTCCCCCTACTCTCTCAACTCAGAAGTCTGCCCCATATTCCAGTGAAAAAATTAAGCCCATTCACTGAGTTTCCTCTTCTCCCATCACCCAGATGCCTTCTACTATCTCCTCCTTCAACTGTGTCTCACATGAAGATGTTGTTCTCCATGCCAAGTGATCCCATTCCATCTCGTTTTCTTCAGGATGTCCCTTTCATCATCCCTACTCTGTGACTTATCTACAATCTCTTCCTGTCTACCGGCTGCTTCTTTACTACCTACAAGAATGTTAATGCCTCCCCCATCCTCATAAACCCCTCACTTGATCCATCCATATCTGCTAGCTATTGTCCTATATCTCTCCTCCCTTTTGTGGTTAAAGAAGCCTGTCTACAATTGCTTTCTCCATTTCCTTTCCTCTTTCTCTCTTCTTAATTCTCTACAATTTGGCTTCCAACTTTATTATTCAATTGAAATTGCTCCAAAATCCAAAGTTGCCAGTGATCTCTTAATTACCAAATCTATTGGCCTTTTCTCAGTCCTCATCTTTCTTGATTGTTCTTTGGCCTTTGACACAATCACTCTCTTCTCCTTGGTACTCTTTCCTCTCTCATCTTCCATGACACAACTCTATCCTGATTCTCCTACCAGTCTGACTACTTAGGTCTCTTTGCTAGATCTTCATCCAACTCATGCTCATTAACTACGGGTGTCCCCCAAAGCTCTGTCCTGGACCTCTTTGCTTCTTCCTCTATACTATTTTACTTGGTAATTTCACCAGTTTCTGTGGATTCAATAAATATCTCTATCTTGATGATTCTTAGATTTACTTATACAGGCCTAACTTCTCTCCTAACCTTCAGTCTTGAATCTTCAACTGCCTTTTGGACATCTTGAACTAGATGTCTCATAGACATAAACACAATATGTCTAAAAAAGTAATTTTCTTTCCCCCTATTTTCCCTCTTACTATTGAGGGCATTTCTATCCTCCGTTACCCAGATTCACAACCTACGTGTCATCTTACTCACTCTCTTTCACCCCACATATACAATCAATCGCCAAGTCCTGTTGATTTTACCTTTTCTTCTGACACTGCCATCATCCTGGAGCAGTCTCTCATCATCTACCATTTGCATTACTGCAATAGCCTGCTGGTTGATCTCAGTGCCTCAAGTGTCCCTCCTACTCCAATGACCCTAGTCTCCTTCCTATTCCCACAAATGGTACTCCCATCTCCCGACTCTGGAAACTTTCACTGGATGTTCTACATACTTGGAATTTTCTCCTTCTTTATCTCTGCTTCCTGACTTCAAGTGTCAGATAAAATTCTACCTTCTAAAAGAAGTCTTTCTCAAACCCTTTAAAAAAGGTACCTTTCTTCTATTGATCATCTCTAATTTTTACAGTATATATCTTCTTTATACATAATTATTTTCATGTTGGATCCCCCACTAAAACTGTGAGCTTCTTGAGATCAGGCCTTTCTTTGGGGCCCCAGTATTTAGCACAATGCCTGGCAAAGGGTAAGTTCTTAAATTCCTGCTCACTGACTGAGTCAGAAGATGCCAGTTCTAATAATGACTCTTTCACTGATTTGACAGTGCTAGACTCTAGGCAAATCATTTTACTCATCTGTGCGCCTCAGTTTTCCCACCTATAAAATAAAGAGATTCCCATGTATGAAATAAAGATAAGACCTCCCTTCCAGCAATATGATCCATGATCTAGTAGACAAGTTTGGCTAGAATGAAGACAATATGAAGGGGAATGCCATGAATCATGGAGATAGTTGAAGGCCAATAGTTTGTATTTTATTTGACAGACAGTTAGGAGTCTTGAATGGGGCGCCAGGAGCCATGGTCAGATCTATGCATTATGCAGGTTACTGTGAATTAGATGAGAAGAATGTATGGAAGAAAAATGAGACCAGAGGAAGAGAATTTATTTAGGAATCTGTTAGGAATCCAGGCAAGAGGTATTGAGGTTTAGAATAAATGTGGTGACTTCATAAGAAGAAATAAAGGAAAAATATGAGATATTGCAGAGTTTAAACTAGCCCGATACAGCAACTGGCAATACAGGAGATGAAGGAAAAGGATGAGACAAAGATGAGTCTGCAGTTTTAAGCCTA